CCGGAGGCGGTGGTGCCCGTCACCGGCGTCCAGTCGTAGTGGATACAGTAGCCGTGCTCCTGCAACCCCTCGTCTAGGATCTGGAGCTCCCTCTTGCCGATGAGCGCCTGCGCAGCCGCCGTGTCGGCCAAGGCATGCGTACGCACTTAGGTTCTTGATCGTCACGAAGGAGGGCGTCTCGGACTCGTCGGCTCGCAGCAACTCCTCAATCTTGTCGCTCCAGTCCGTCGTCACGTTTAAAGGCGTCCTCGTCATTCGTGAAAAAGTTGAAAGCCGAGAGCTTACCTGATTATTTCTCCTTAGCCAGTCGATCGGGCTTCGATGCGTAGGGATTCTTGCAGTCACTAGCCCAATGACCTCGCTGTCCGCAGTTGGCGCACCTGGTGCGATGACGGATGTCACGCTCTCCGACTCGCTTGAAACCAGGTCGTGCCGCCTTCCTCCTCGAGAAGAAGTTCCGGTCGGTCTTCTTGGTAAGTTCCAATTTGCCGCTCTCCGTCCATGTGCGCCTCTTCTCCTTCCCGAATTTCTCCTCTATCCTTGCTGCGAAGACCTGGATGGCCTCCTCCTCGTCCAATTGCTGTTCCTCGATCGCCAAGAGGAATGCCTCCGCCTCGTCTTCAGGAAGCTCGATGTCATCATCAGTCTCGGACTCCTCAGGTGGATCCGTCATGGTTTCCACGACAGACTTCACCAACGGCACCGACTGCACTGCTGTAAAGACCATGTGTTCGAGCACGTCCATCTGTGGACGGGCCGATCTGATCGACTCCGTGTCGGTCTTGCCCTTTGCGAGGGTCCGAAGATTCACCTTGTTCTGAGGACTGAGATTAGCCCCCTCCTCGAAGTAGCGAGCTCGAACATTATCTGGAAGAAGAAGGCCGTGCACCTCTGCGTCAGACATCTGCTGATCCCGCCTCAGCCCGAAGTCCGTGAGTGATTCTCCTTGCCTAATCATGTAGTCGAACAGCGCGTGGGAGTGAGACAGTCTCTCCCTGTCGCCCGGACGCTCGCCGTTCAGGATGGTCAAGTGCTCGAGCACCTTCTGCACGCCGTTTGGCTGCAGGAGCGACGCTGCTATGGGCTTGAACTTCAGCTGCAACTCTACGGGCAGAGACTCGACCAGGCGGGGGGCCTGAGATTCTGGAAGATGCCCCGTGCGCCTGGACCACGCCGTGATGTTGAGGCGGTGCAGCTCGAGATGCTCCATGTCCAGCCACTGTGGCGGTGGCCCGTAATCCCGTGAGCGGTTGGGGAGGACATCCCAGCTCCCCGATGACTACCATTCTGAGTTGTACCACCCGCCTGCGGACCAACCTCTCCATCTCTCTCGATCTCCTGTATCCGCGGAGCCCTAGCCCCCGGACCGTGCTCGGGAGTCCCAGTCGGCCTCAGTCCAGGATTCTGCGTCGCGTCGTTCTGCCAGCGCCTCGTCCCCCTGGGGTTCGTCCGTTTGGGTTCCCGCTTCCACGACTTGGAAGCCCGGGGCCTCGGAGCCTCGCTGTCCTCCCTCGGTCGTCTGGCCCCTCTCACCGCCCTCGAGCTCCACCTGGTCCACGAACCAGCTCCGCTTACCACTGTCACAGGGTGAGGGATGTGGGAGATCCTTCAGCACGCCAAGAGAGTCTCCCGCCGACTCTGAGACCTAAGCCTAAAAGGCAGGGTGCGAAGGACATAGAGAGGGGACGAGAGAGAGAGAGAGAGAGACATGGGCTTCCCCCAGGGGCACGCAGGGGACAGCGGCTCGTTCGGGGGCTGCGAACTGCGCCGACGTCGCCACTTTCGTGGGCTCCTGGGAGGCACGGCGGAGTGCAGGGTCGGGCTTCCGGGCTGCAATGTGCGCAAATTTCGCCAATTTCGCGGTTTCTCGGGAGGCACGGCGGAGGCGAAGGCCATTCGGATCCTGTTGAGACCTCGCGGCTCCGTCGGTGGCTGCGAATTGCGCAACTGACGTCACGTTTGTGGACTCTTGCGAGGCACGTTGGAGTGCAGGACCGCGCGGATCATTTCGAGACCTCGCGGCTCCGTCGGCGGCAACACATTGCGCAACCGTCGCTTTTTTCGTGGGCTCTTTGGAGGCGCGGCGAAGTGCAGGGCCGCGCAAATCCCTTTGAGATTTCGCAGTTCCGTCGGGGGCTGCGAACTGTGCAATTGTTGACACTTTCGTCGACGCGGTTCCGTCTGGGGCAAAAGACTTTCGCGGTTCCTGGGGGGCGCGGTGGAGCGCAGGGCGGCGCGGATCTTTTTGAGACCTCGCGGCTCCGGAGGTCGTTGCGAATTGCGCAACCATTGCCCTTTTCGCGGGCTCTTTGGTGGCGCGGCGGAGCGCAGGGCCGCGCGGATCTCGTCGAGACTTCGCGGCTCGCTGGGGGGTTGTGAGTTGAGCAACCGTTGTCACTTTCGTGAGAATTTGGGAGGCGCGGCGGAGGTGTGGGCCACGCGGATCACTTCCAGACCTCGCGGCTCTTTCGTGGGCTGCGAGCTGCGCAATTGTTGTCACTGTCGTAGGCTCCTGGCATGTAGCGGAATGCAGGGCCATTCGGATCCTTTTGAGACCTCGCGGTTCCGTCGGGGGGTGCGAATTGCGGAACCGCAGTTCCGTGGGTTTTTGGGAGGCGCGGCGGAATGCAAGGCAGTGCGGACCCTTTTGAGACCTCGCGGCTCTTTCGGGGGCTGCGAATTTTGCAATTGACGTCACTTCCGTGGGCTCCTGGGAGGCACAGCTGAGTGCGGAGCCGAGCAGATCGTGCATATCTCGCAATGTGTTTTTTTCGTTTTGAGCGTTTTTATGAATAGTCGCCATGCGTCGAGAAGGGGTTGGGTAGTACGTTTCGGGTAAGTGCAACCTTCCTCGGGTAGCAACGTCAAGCAGTGCACAGCCAAGGGCAACACAACGCCAAGCAATGCGCCCATGCAGTAGGACATTTTCCCCAAATTGAGTTCGCGGCGGGTTCATGTAAACAGGATTCGCCGCTGATCATTTTAATTCTAGACGCTTCGCGTATCCCCACCAGCCCGTCCAGAAATGAGTCCCAGGGGAGTGGAGGTTATGAGGGAAGCGGGGGAGCATGGCGAAGAACAAAGGGCGGGGTGAGCCGCCATATACCCCAAGAGGGGGAGGATGTAGGAGGAGCCGTCGTCGTCGGAGTAGGAGGAGGAAGAGGAGGAGCAGGAGGAGGAGCAGGAGAAGGAGGAGGAGGAATAGAAGGAGGAGGAGATGGAGGACTGCGAGGACGAGGAGGACGAGAAGGAGGAAAAGGAGAGGAGGAGGAGGAGGAGGAGGAGGAGGAGGAGGAGGGGGAGGGGGAGGAGGGAGGAGGAAGAAAAAAGAGGAGGAGGAGGAGGAGGAGGACAATTGCGAACTTGGGGGCCTCTTGGGCCGTCCTTGGGGCCTCTTGGCGGTCCCGGGGGCCTCTTGCGTATCTCGGGGAGCCTCTTGTGGCCTCTTGGGGGTCTCTTGGGGGCCTCTTGGAGGCCTCTTGGGGGCCTCTTGGGGCCTCTTGGGGCCCTCTTGGGGCGCTCTTGGGGCGCTCTTGGGAGCCTTCGAGGCGCTCTTGGGGCCATCTTGGAGGAGATCTATCAAAGAAGGGGGGGTCCCCAATTAGCGCTGCCCCTCTAGAGTGCCTCGAGTCGCCTCTTGGGCCCCCCCAAGAGGCCAAAATCCTTCCAAAACCTAGGTAAAATCAATGTTTTTTGTTTTCTCGCCTTTTCGCTCTTGGACCCGTCTTGGGAGCCTCTTGGGCCTCTTGGGGGTCTCTTGGGAGCCTTTTGGAGGCCTCTTGGGCGCCTCTTGGGGCCTCTTGGGGCGCTCTCGGGGCGCTCTTGGGGCGCTCTTGGGAGCCTTCGGGGCGCTCTTGGGGCCATCTTGCAGGAGATCGATCAGAGAAGAGGGGGTCCCCAATTAGCGTTGCCCCTCTAGAGTGCCTCGAGTCGCCTCTTGGGCCCCCCAAGAGGCCAAAATCCTTCCAAAACCTAGATAAAATCAATGTTTTCTGTTTTCTCGCCTTTTCGCTCTTGGAGCCGTCTTGGGCCATCTTGGACTCTCTTGGGGCCTCTTGGGGGTCTCTTGGCAGCCTCTTGGAGGCTTCTTGGGGGCCTCTTGGGGTCTCTTGGGGCCCTCTTGAGGCGCTCTTGGGGCGCTCTTGGGAGCCTTCGGGGCGCTCTTTGGGCCATCTTGGAGGAGATCTATCAAAGAAGGGGGGGTTGCTTATTAGCCCCGCCCCTCCAGAGTGCCTCGAGTCGCCTCTTGGGCCCCCCCAAGATGCCAAAATCCTTCCAAAACCTAGGTAAAATCAATGTTTTGTGTTTTCTCGCCTGTTCGCTCTTGGAGCTGTCTTGGGCCATCTTGGACGCTCTGACACCTCGCGACCGGCCCCGTCCAGGTCAGTGGGGAGGGGTAAGGGGAGGGGTAAACCCCTCCCCGAAGGGGAAGAAGGGGGTTGGCAGAGGAAACTCCCTAGACCACCTACGCCCTAAAGGGCTGGTGGGATTGTACGTAGCGTTTTAGGGCGCATGTGTGCGGCGCCAAGGCGAAAACCCTGTGTCAAGAACGGCTCGCCTTCTACTTGTGGAACTGCTGGACATTGCAATCTTCAAGCTCATACGTGGCGAGGAGGATTATGGCAACACGCTTGAGCCCCGCCGTACCGACACTCCCGAGAGAGGGACGAAGGATATGGAGGAGGAGAGGGAGGAAAAGAAACGGAGAAACGAAAAGGAAGGCAGGAGGAAAGAGGAGGAGGAGGAGGAGGAGGAGGAGGAAGAGGAGGAGGACGAGGAGCAGGGCACTCCTCCTTTTCCTCCTCCTCCTCCTTCCTCCTCCTTCTCTGGTGGGGGGTTGGGCGCGCGCTTCGCCCACAAACAACCGCCTTACAGGGGGAGGGCCGCGTCGACGAAAAGGGGCTGCGTCGACGAAAAGGAGGAGGAGGAGGAGGAGGAGGAGGAGGAGGAGGAGGATCAACAAGCAGGAAACACGCAGGGGCGTCCGCGCCGTCGGGGAGGCTAGCCGCTCCCAGCTGCCAGACATCGACAAAAAGAAGTTTCTGGTGCCCGGTACCATGCTCTGCGGCGAGTTCAAGCCCGCCCCCCGCCCGCCGCCTCCGGGGCTCCGGGGGAACGGGGATCTGAGAGAGGGGTGGGAAAGGGGGGGGAGAGGGGGGAGAGAGGGGGGGGGAGCGGATGGGCTTGGAGAGGGTAGGCGTGAGCGGACGGGCGAGTAACGTGCGCCCGCGCCACATTTGTCACCCCTCTCCCCCTTGCTTCTCTATCCGCCAACGGGTGTCATAGCGGACCTGAAGCATCCAACATGACCTCAGCATGTTACGTGCAATCTGAAAAGCGGAGTTGTGTACGTGCGTTGTGGGCGGAGGGGGAGGAGGAGGAAAAGGAGGAAGAGGAGGAGGAGGAGGAAGATAAGGAAGAGGATGAGGAGGAATAGGAAGAGAAAGAGGAGGAGGAAAAGGTGGCGGATGGACACAAGCATGAGCAGGAGGCAGGAAAAGGGGGAGGAACGCGGATGACAAGGACGAATTACAGCAGGAGGAGCGGAAGGAGCAGAAAAACCAGGGGACGGCGTGGTGGGGCAAGGGAGGGTGCGACAATGACGAGGAAGTCAGCAGCAACGCTCCTTTTTCCTCCTTTTTGTCCGCTCCGCCACCTACCTTCCAACTGAAGGTTGGCGGCGCTGACGTAAACATTGATGGTTGCAGCGTGCCAAAAGCGCGCGCCCTCCCCTCGTCTCGGGTCGGGCGCGTATTTGCATACATGCACTTGCCGTAGTCTTGCTTACCATATTCGATGTCCATGGCGACACACAGTTCCGCGACCGTGAGGTTCGATATGGGATGTTTAGTCGGAGACGTTCATACCCCTCGGCCCCACCACGCCCGCTAGATTATTTCAGCCTTGCGTGCCTCCGCGACCGCGGTGGCTCAAGTCCGAGAGGCCCCCGCGCGGCCGGCCTTGATGGAAGGCGGGCCACCCTCGCTTTGGGCGACGCTCGTGGCCGCCTGGATCGCGAACCTCGGCGCGTGCTGGTCCTGGGGCTGGACGCACGCCTCCGCGGTGCCAGTCTGGGTGCCGCCCCCGCCGCTGGCCTGCTGCGCCGAGGAGGTGTGCCACTGTTCCTGCGACAAGGAGCTGCGGCACATCATCGACCTCCAGGCGGAGGTCTGGGCGCTGCGGTGCTTGCTGCTCGCTGGGCTGCTGCTGCTCGGCTTCGCGACCTCGACCGCGGGCTTGCTGGGGTTCCTGGCCAGTGTTTGCCGGCGCTGCGGCTGCGGCGCCCGCGGGCGGGCGCCAGGCGCTGGCGCTTCGGCTGCCGCGCAGGAGCACGTGGAGGCACCTCTGGCGGTGGTGACTGGAGGCAGCGGCCCCTCGACGCCCAGCCGACGTCATGGTTGATGTGCTGACGTTAGACGTCGCGGACCCGCAGATATTGATGTTGCACGAGAACGATCCGCACGGCTTCTTTTGGCACCACAGACTGTTGCTCTTCCGGGCGAGCGAGGACATCTGGATTTGCCTCACCCCGGACGACGACTTGGTCCGCGTCAAGCTGCTGGACACGCGTCATGAGGTGCTCGAACGGAGAGCGCCCTTCCCGGCGCACCTGACGAACCAGGTGTACGCCCACGACCCGATCGGCGGGGCGGCACTCGCTGCCTTCCGGCGTCGAGCGAGGCTGCAGGGTCAGCTGCTCGGCGTCGGCCAGGTGGACGCGATCGAGCGCATGATCTGGGTGGTGGCTGAGCCGCGCTCCGACCGATTCGGCGAGGTCGTCGACGCGGCGCTCATGGATGACGAGGGCCGCGGGACAGGCTTCGACCAGAAGGGCGTGGCGGTCTTGGACGGGGAGGAGTTCTTCGCGCAGAAGATCGCGGCCAGTGGCCTGACGAGGCGGGACAGAGGAGCCTGCGGTTGTCGGAGGCGGTGGCGCTGATGCGAGATGCGGAGCAGCCGAACTTCCCGCTTGCTGGTGTCAGGAGCGTGAAGGAGTTCCTGGACAGCGTGGCCTCGGGACCTGGGAATATGACATCGTACCAGGCCGAGTGGGAACGGCTCAGTGGCGTTGGCGAGGGCGCGGCGGTCAACCACGTGCGCAGGAACCTATGCGAGGTGATCCGACTGATGCGCTCCAGGGACCAGCCAGGTCGACTTATCGACGTCGGCTTCCGCGGTGCTCCTGATGCGCCGGCTGATCCAGACGGAGATCACAGTGGAGCGCAGCCCGCGCCACCCCGACTACAGCGGCCTGGACGTCGTCATCTCCGCGCCAGTCAACGCAGTTGGGCGGGCCCCCGCTTCGAAGGTCAACACCTGGGTCACAGATCGGTTCAAAGAGAGGGCGACGATCTGGAAGCAGGGGCGCCTCTACCGGGAGGAGCAGAAGCAGGCCCGCAAGGGCGACGGCCGAACCCGAAGCGGCACTCCAAGAAGGCGAAGGGAGGAGCGGCCGGCGCTGGCGGCGGCGCCGGCGAGGAGGGGCGAGGCCCCTCGGGGCCGCGGGGGGCCGGCGCTGGCAGCCTGGGCGCCGACAGACCCCCCCCGCGGCCGACGTCCACGTGGGCTTGCCGCCTCCAGTGCTGGAGGCATCAGGTCGCGCGATCGACGGCATGGTGATCCCTTCCCGCTGCCGTGCGACACCTCCGGCCTCGGCACTGCATGCGACCCTGCGCGGCCTCGGCAAGTTTTGACTCGGCTCGGGCCCTGGGCCAGCTTGCCGCCGCCAACCTGAATTCACGTCGCGCCCATGGGGCATGGCCTACCACCTGAGGGCCACCTCCGGCCCACCGCCGTGCAGCGCTGGATGCTCCAGAATGTCGCGTTGCGGGTTGAGGCGTGCGGGGGTTGCCCGACTGACCATGCAGAGGAGTCGTCCCTCGCAGAGATCCTCGACTCTAGAGACCACTGCGGCATGGAGCCCAAGAACTTGGACAGCTTCGACAAGGTCAAGATCCTGCACAGGAGAGTTCAAGTGCGACCCATTCGTCGAGAGCTACCACCAGCAGCACTTGGCTACCTCAGGCACGCGAGTGGCCTGATCGAGAGGGGCGAGGCGGAGCTGGAGAAGGGCCGAGCCGAGGGCCAGGGGTTCTCGCCGCATTGGGATCCCGCACATCGGCGCTCGCGAGACCGGAGGAAGCGGCTGCATCAGCGTCTGAGCCAGCAGGGCCTGCTGACCCGGCGGCGGCGGCTGAAGGGGCGCGCGGGCATCTTCGCGGCCAAGAAGAACGATGGGCCCCAGAGACTTACCATCGACGCCCGAGCGGCGAACAGGGCACGCCGGCTGCCCCCTACTACGCGACTGGTTTCGTCTCGCTGCGTGGCGGACCTTGACCTTTCCGACCCTCGCCTGAAGGCCTCCGGCCTTGGAGGGATAGGCTCGGGGCCTGTCGCCAGTCCGACGGGGCTAGAGGGCGACGTCGGGGACTGCTTCCTACAACTTCACGATCCCCGAGCTGGCCCCCTGGTTCGGCTTCGAGGGCCACCTCGACGCTGTGGAGCTGGATAGCATGGGCTGCCGGCCCGCGACAGTGTGGGATGACGCCGAGGGGGCCGAGTCCAGGGTCGTGGGCGGCGAGACGCTTTGCCCCTGCGCGACGGCCGCGTGCGCGGGCTGGTCTTGGGCGCTGTACTTCGCCAACGAGGCCGTCACTCACCGAGTGGAGAAGACGCTCGTCGACGGCCCCGGCCAGATCATGAGGGAGATGCAGCCTGCGCCAATCTTAAAGCCTGGCAAGTGCGCGTCCGGCGCGCATGTGGATGACGCGCAAGTGATCGGAGGCTGCAAGGCTGACGCTGTGAAACAGATGACGGAAATTGAGAACGCCTGCCACCGCTTCACTGACGAGACCCTGGAGGTACCGAAGCGGACGTGGCCCTCGGTGAAGTCGGAGATCCGCTGCGCGATGAATCTGCTCTTCTTGATGGGGGCCGACCTCAGCGCCAAGTTCCGGGACCAGGTCTACTGCGGCGGGGGCCCCTCCACTCGCGGCTACGCTCTGCACGTGGCGATGGGGGGGGGCCCGGCGAGATCCGCGAGGCCTGGAAGTGGCGGTGCGCCCCGACGGTGGAGGGCCAAGTGAGCGGGCCTCGGCTGCGTGCGGGGCGGCGCGCCAGGTTCGGCCGCTGGGCCGCTGGCCGCCCTCGGCCAGGCCCTTCGCAGCCGGGCGGGGGCGCGCCCGAGGCCGCGCGGCCGCTCGGCGGCTGGCAAGGTGGCCCGCGCCAGTGTGACCCTGGACTGGGGCCGAGACTTCCCTTTGAATGCAGGGCTTGTTTGAGGCGCAAAACAAATGAAGTAGGTTTAGAGTAGCTCCTGAAGTAGGTCGGCGAAGTAGGTCTGCAGCGCGCCTGGCAACAGTGGTCGGCGCAGGTAACTCGAAGGGAAAGGATGGCGAAGCCGATTGCCGCGAGAAACTTTCAGGGGAAAGGAATGCGACATTCATGTGCAAAAGTAGCTTTCCAGGGAAGGTTGTTGGGAACACAATATCAAAAGTAACTTGTCGGGATCGGGTCAGTAATGATAGTTTCCAAACAAGCTTCTCGGGGAAATGCTGGAATGCCGCCAGCAAGGCGCGGCTTCTGCTAGCAAACCAGCCGAGTAATTCGTGAAGTGCGCTGTCTTGGGTTCTTCTGGACTCCTTCGGGGTTTATCTTCAGGCTTCCAAAGTCTTCGGAAGCGCATGGGCCAAAAGGCCCAATTCATTCGTGTCTCGTACGATTTGGAAAGATTTCGGCTTCTCGGGGGTGTTATTGGGTGGCTTCGCGGCCACTTGGGGCGGTCTCGGAGCGGCATTTGGGTTTCTTGGAGCATGCGGCAAACAATGTTGATCCATCTTGGGCTATCTAGAACCATCTGTGAGACCGCGTTGCATTATGCGAGGTCATGCCGGCTCTATCCTTGAACGTCTCGGGCGCTCCAGCGACCCGCCGCCCCCCGCTGCAGACCCCGGAAGGAGGGGTGGGGAGGGGTGCATCCATCCCCGAAGGGAGAACTGGGGGTTGTTTGAACAGGAAGCGCTCTAAACCACCTCCGTCCTGAGATCTGGGGGCATTGCGTTTCCCCCTTGGTCTGACCACAGCGGGAAGTGGGGCATGGAGGGCGGGGCGAGGGCCGCGGGCCCGAGCAAGGGAGAGGGGGGGGGGGGCGAGAGGGAGGACCAGGAAGGTTAAGAAGGTCAGAAACGGGAGGGTGGGGGGCTCCAGAAGGCGGGTAGGGGGGAGGTGGCGTTTCCGGGGGGAGGAGGTGGAGGGAGGCTGGAATAATGAGGACGCGTGAAAGAGGAGAGGAGGTGGAGAGAGGTGGGAGGAGGAAAGAGAAACGGAAGGGGAGTGGCGCCTCCGTCGGGCCGGGCCCGGAGGGGCCCCGGGGGGCGGGGGGCGGCCGCATCAGGTTTGGTTTCTGAAGAACCTAGGGCGCCAGGCGGCGGCCCCCTGCCCGCCAGCGGGGGGGCTGCCAAAAGGCCCTGTCCTGTCGCGGTACGTTCGCTTGTCGCCCGACAGCGAAATCGCGCTCGATCCTCGACCCTCGGGGGGGGGGGGAGACCGCCCCCTTTGGGGGGCTCCCGCCTGTCGGGGGCAACCTACAAGTGTTTTGGGTTTGCTCACCTTCTGGGGGTACTTCGCAGATTCCTTTTTTGGCGCGCCGCCCCCGGGGGCGACTTCTGGGAAAGGCTCGGGCAAGCGTGTGCTGATGTTTCAAGGAACCGCGCCCCCAAAGTAGGTCGGAAAGTAGGTTTGCAGAATTTGTTTTTGCAAAGTAGGTTCCAAAGAAGGTTTCCGGATTCCAAAAGTAGGTTTTCGGTAGCGCAAAGTAGGTTTCGGAGGCTTCAAAATAGGTTTTAGGAGCCTCAAAGTAGGTTTCGGAGGCCTCAAAGTAGGTTTCAAACCTACTTCAAACCTACTTCAAACCTACTTCAAACCTACTTCAAACCTACTTCAAACCTACTTCAAACCTACTTCGAACCTACTTCAAACCTACTTCAAACCTATTTCAAACCTACTTCAAACTGTTTTCGGAAGCATGGAAGGTCAGGGATTGAAGGTAGGAGGAGGAGGAGGTGGAGGAGAATGTGGGGGAGGAGGAGGAGGAGGAGGAAGAGGAATGGAGGAGGAGGAGGAGGAGGTGGATGAGGAGAGCCGGGAGGAGGATGTGGAGGAGGAAGAAGAGGAGGAGGAGGAGGAGAGCCAGGTCGAGGAAACGGAGGGCCAGGAGGAAGGAGGAACAGGAGAGAGGAGTAGGAGGAGTAGGACCAAGAGGATCCGGAGGATCGGGTGGAGGATGAGGGGCGGATGAAGGGAGAATGAGGGAGAAAAGGTAGGAACAAGAAGGGGAATATGAGGAGGAGGAGGAGTAGGAGGAGGAGGGGGAGGGGGGGGCGGGGAGGGCGGGGAGGATCGGGGGCAGGAGGATGAGAACATGGATGCTGCGGCTGACGAGGGAGAGGATGGTGAGGCAAGGGGGGCGATGATGGGAAGCATATGTGATTGATGACGAGTGGCTTTGGGGAGGGCAGAAGGACCTTGGGCGGGGCCGCCGTAATCATGAGGATGAGCCATGGCGTGTCCGAACCCCGCCGGGACACGGCATGGGGGTTTTGCTGGGGTGGTGATTGTTGGTGGCGGCCCGGCTTGTCCAGGATTCCTTGAATTGCGTTGTTCGCCGTGCCAGTTGCTGGGGCTGCCCATATTGATTTTTGGGTCACCCATTGTCGTGACTGCTTTTCTGGCGGGTCGTGTTTGCGGAGGTCTTCTCCGCAGCCGCTCTCGTTAACTCTTTATGTTTAGTGCCCGAGGGTGCATCGCGCGGAAAGTGTCGCGGCCCCTGCCTGAAATGCAGCCCTGGCGCCCTTTCCATTGCAAACCCTCTTGGCGAGGTTACCGCGGCCAGGGAACGTCCCCGGGTGCACTTGCCAGGGCTACTTTGGCGGATTCGCTTCGCCAACTTAGCTGCCCGCGGCATTTGCGCCGACGCGCTCTGGCAAACCCAGTAACGGGAGGCTATATGCCCGATGGCACGTTTTCCCCGCGCGTTGCACCTTTTTCCTGGAACCTACTATGCTTGCGAACCTATCTCCCGAACCTACTTTTGAACCTATCTAAAACCTAGATCGAAATGTTTTCTGCTCGCCATTGCCCTGCATTGCCGGGGAAGTCTCGGGACTGGGGGGCCCCCGCGCTGGCCGACGGCTGGACCGATCGTCGACGCTGCCGTTTGGTGGCGGCCGACCGCTGGCTCTGGCAGGACGAGCGCATCAACCTGAAGGAGGCGAGGGTGGCCCTCATGGGTCTGCGGAGACGTCGCCGATCCGCCAGGCTGCTGGGTTCGAAGCTGCTGACGCTGAGCGACAGCCAGGTCACCGTGAGGGCCTTCGAGAAGGGTCGCTCCAGCGCTGGCCTGCAGGCATTGTGCAGACGGGCGGCAGCTTGCCGGCTTGGGGGGCAGATCGCGCGGCGGCTCCGCCACGTCGAGACGGATCGGAAACCAAGCGACATCGACCCCCGCCAGTGGGGCGCCAAACGGACGACGGGGCAGCCCGCCTCGGCGCGCGAGCGCCGGCCGAGGCCGGGGGAGTCGCCAACCCGGGCGGCAGCGGCGGCGGGCACCACGCGGGAGGCGGAGGCCACCGACCCCCGCGGCTGCTTGCCCAGCGTCGTCGACACGCACTTTTCTCTTGAGGATGAGCTGACAGAGCCCCCCCCCTCACCTTTATCTTCACTGCCGACGTCGCCTTCATCAATCTCTCGCCTTACAATTCAGAACGAGCCTGGTCATTCAGTTTTTGTTTGAAGCTCTTTGGATGGCAAGGGCAGCTGACTCGAGCTTGCAGTAGAGAGGGCCCCCTTTTGCCGACCATGTGGACATCAAGGATGGATGCGAGTTTGATTTATCTCGGCGCACAACACAACAGCATGTCCTGGATCTGGCCCGTAGAGGCCGTTTGTTGCATGTGCATATTGGGGCGCCTTGTCAGGTCTGGAGTATCGCGCGTCGGAGCATCAGAAACCATGAACGAGCACGTGCCAGGGAGCGTCTTGGGATTGAGTTCGCACGGGTCACGGCCGCGCCGTGTCAATATATACTATCTCGGCGCGGGGCGTTTTGCAGCATCGAGAATCCCAGGACTTCGAGGTTGTGGAACTTCGACCCCATCGCTCGGCTACGTGGGCCCCCCAAGGTGTTGGAAGTTGATTTCGATATGAGCATAAACCGGCTCGGATCTTGACTAATCCGGGGGCTTTGAGGGCACTCGGAGATCGGCCTCGCATACCTCACAAGCACGCCATCATGTCACGCGGTCACCTCGCACCAGGCCGCCGCCTATCCGTCCGCTTTGGGCTCATGCTGGGCAGATCTCCTCAGGGCCGCGCCCCCGCATACGGCCCCCTCGGACGCGTCGGGCCTTGATTCGCGCGAGGTCCGCCATGGCTTCCTCCAGGCCGCGAGCCGAAGGCTGGAGGGCGGGCGCTATGCAGCCAGGGCGCCGGGCTGCTCCGTGCCGACTGCCAGGTAGCCAACGCCTTCCTCGACGAGAACCCCCTCGTCCAGTTTGGCCAGGACGAGATCGGCCGCGACGCTGGCGGGCCCACCCGCGCTGGCAGGCAGCGGCCGCCAGGCAAGGGCCGCCCGCGGCTGCCATCGGCGCCGCGCCGAGTCGGGCCCTTCAAAGCTCCCAGGCGCGACTCGCTGGCCATGGCGACGGTCGCGGGCGCGACGCTCGAGAAGCACGCGGCAGCCGCGCACGAGTTCAAGGTCTACGCCAGGGCCAAGAGGCTCGACCTGCAGCCTCTCAGCCGCCTGGACGACAGCCTCGCCCAGTAGTTCGTGGACATGCGCGACGACGGCTTCGGGGTCTGGGGGGGGGGGGGGGCTGGAACGCACAGCGCGGCCGCGGGCTCCTGCGGCTCAAGGCGACGGGCAAGGTGGACCTGCCGATGGCGCTGGCCTCGCTCAAAGGGTGGGCGAAACGGTCGCCAGGCCACATGCGCCTGCCCTTGCCCGACATCATCGTGGGCGATATCGCGCTGGACTTGGCGGAGCACGATCCGCCGCTGATGGGCGCAGCCGTGTCGCTGGAGACGGGCGCTCACGCCCGGCCCTCGGAGGTGGTCGAGCTTCGCCAGGGCCAGATCCTGCCGCAAGCTCTGGCCGCGAAGCTCGGCGCGCACTATGGCATCGCCATCGCGCCCTCGGAGTGGTGCGAGGTCGCGAAGACGGGGGGGCTGGGCGACAACCTGCTGGTCGGCGACGTGGTGCGCCCCTGGCTGACGAACGCCCCGCGGGTCCTCCACCAGCCCAAGGCCGCTGACTCCCAGAGGCTCTTCGACTTCATGTTGCCGGAGTACGAGCGGGAGATCAGGAAGGCGGGTTGCTCGTCACTCGGGGCGCGCCCGCGCGTCTGCAGGCGCTCAGGGGCCTCGAACGACAAGGCGCGCGGAAGACGGACTCTGAAAGATATCCAGAAGCGCGGCCGATGGACCTCGCCCGCGTCGGTGGCCCGCCGCGAGAAAGGCGCCCTCATCTCGCGGCAGCTGCGGAAGGCGCCCCAGCAGAAGCAGAAGCTGGCAGCGCGCAGGAGCCAGCAGCTACCCCAGCGTCTGCTCGATCGCCTTCGACAAAAGTAAGGGCCACCAAAACGTGATGCGGGCGCGGGCATGGGGGCTCGTGATATCAGAAGCCTCTTTTGATTTGTTTCAGCTGCTGGCCAGAGCAGAATATTGTTCTGGGCATGTTTGTCAGCGGTGTGAATCAGAGAGGATGCCCGCTCATATCTACCAGCTTCGCTGAGATATGCACGTTTGGGCGTGGTCTTCAGGCCGTCTTGGGGCGCGTTAAGTCGGAGACGTTAATGCCCCCCCGGCCCCGCCTCGCCCGCTAGATTATTTCTGCCTTGCGCGCCTCCGCGACCGCGGTGGCTCAAGTCCGCCCGCCCGCGGCCACCCTCGAGCCCCGATAGCATCGCTCGCAATGTTTTCTTCTTTCCCGTTGGGCGTGGGGGCCCGTGATATCAGAAGCCTCTTTTGGTTCGTCTCAGCTGGTGGCCCGAGCAGAATTCTTCTTGGACAGGTTTGCCAGCGGTGTTAATGAAAAGTATGTCCATTCGCGTCTACCAGCTCCGTTGAGATATGCACGTCTGGGCGCGGTCTTCAGGCCGTCTCGGGGTGCAATTGTTCTTGCGCGACCTGCGAGTACAAGGTGAAGAGCAATATCAACATAAACGCATGCGCACGAATACAAATGCCCACCACTTGGAAATCACGAGGCAGATGTGTGGTTACCAGCCGACATACTCACCACGAGGTCTTGTGACTGCGTCACAAACCCCGGGGTCGTTGGGGCCGAACACAGAGGGGATGAACCTGGAGAACTTCTAGCCCGTGATCAAGGGAATGCCAGTGCCTTCGTTGTTTCAGATCGTATCATTGAGGCTGGAGGGCGTCGCCCGCGATTGTCTACGCGTTTGAGGCCAGGGGATTGCGTCTCATTTCATTGCGGACGCACTCGCGGAGATTATGCGCTTAGGACACCGGAGTGGAAATCGACAAGTTCAAACTCAATGCCTTCATGGTGGCACCAAGTCGTGGTGTACTAGGAACCCCGAGTCTGCTCGCCTTCGGAAGCTCACGTTCGAAGGGCTGAAGACTGCAGGGGATTGGCCAACATAAAAAGCAAAAGGGGCGGCAACTCTACATTTAGCTGGGCATGCGGCGGACCTGCGTGCACAATATAATTCAGGCACCGTCCATAACAAACGTCGTGCGTCAATTTGCAGACTCTTGAAACGTTTTTTACGAGATCATTGGCGAAGAAGGGATGTTTCTTTCAGAATCGGCAAAAGCTGAGATGATGCCAATTTCCGAATACTTGATTTCAATATGTAGTTCTTTCGCGGCCGAGTCCCTGCGGAAGGGTGAAAGGATGTGGAAGATGACCGCGACATGCCGCGTATGTCAACACCTTTGTGAAGACCAGGCGCGCCGCCGGATTAACCCAGCATGCTCTTGGAACTACGCGGCGGAATATTTACAAAACGCGATGAAAGATATAGCCGTGAGTTGCCACAGGAAAAATTTACCACGCACGGTGATTTTCCAGTGGATTGTTGCCGTGATGGACGATTTTGGTGAGTTGAGTGACTAAGATTACCGTTTTTCATATCTACGCTGACGGGCTGATGGAACTTGGCAAGAAGGAAAAGCAAATACACGCGCGCACGCACGCACGCACGCGAGAACGCACACACACACAAACACACACACACACACACACACACAAACGCGCACGCACACACGCACGCGCGCGGACACAACGAAAACAAACCAGCCGTGACGCACACACACATACACATTAACACACACACGCGCACACGCATACACACACTCGCACGCACACACGCACACACGCACGCACACGCACACGCACACGCACACGCACACGCACACGCACACGCACACGGGAAGAGGAGGAGGAGGAGGAGGAAGAGGAGGAGGAGGAGGACAAGGAGGAAGAAGAGGACGAGGAGGATAAAGAGGAAAAGGACGATGAGGAGGGGGACAATGATGAGGAGAGGGAAAGGGAACTCCTCCTTAGAACTTCCTGTTCCTCCTCCTCCTCCTCCTCCTCCCCTCCCCGTCTAGCCATTTTGTCTCAGGCCTGCGTGAGCCCTGGCACGGATGCCTGTCAACAAAAACCAGAAGGCGTCAATTCCACAGAAATGACGGCAAAGGCTGCTATATCTATATATATATACACATATACGTATACATAAATACATATACACATATATTATATATATACATATATATATATATATATATACATATATACATATATACATATATACATATATATATACACACATATACATATACATGTACGTGCGTATGTATGTATATATATAGGACCCGCGCTTGCTCGAGAGGTTGCCTCTTGATATCTGGGGTGGTGGTGTGGTCGGGGGGCCGGGCTGGGGCCCGGTCCTCGGACTGGGCCCGGGCCTCAGACCAAGCCCGGGCCCGGATTTCAGACCGGGCTCGGGCCTCAGACCGGGCCCGGGCCCGAGCGTCAGACCGGGCCCGAGCCGAGGCCGGGCCTGGGGGCCCGAGCCCCGGGCCTCAGACCGGGCCCGGGCCCAGGCCTCACACCGCCGGGGCCGAGCCCAGGCTCGCGGGCTTCAGACCGGGCCCGGGCCCGGGCCTCAGATCGGGCCCGCAGGACACAGACCGGGCCCCGGCTTCCGGGCCCGGACGTCGAACCGGGCCCGGGCTTCAGACCTGGCCCGGGCCTCAGACTGGGCCGGGGCCTCAGATCGGGCCCGGGCCCGGGCCTCAGACCGGGCCGCGGGTTCCGGGCACGGGCCCGGGCCCGGGCCTCCGACCGGGCCCGGGCCTCAGACCGGGCCCGGGCCTGGGCTCCGATCGGGCCCTCAGTCCGGGCCCGGGCCTGGGCGCGGGCCCCAAACCGGGCCTGGGCCTCAGACCGAGCATGGGCCTCAGACCGGGCCCGGGCCCGCGGCTCAGACCGAGCCCGGGCCTCAGACCGGGCTCGGGCCCGGATCTCAGACCGGGCCGGGCCGCGGGTTCCACTTCGAGAATGGTGGTTCTTATGCTAGTTGCACCCTATGTATAAGTATCGCAAGTAACATAGCTACTTACATGAGCTACTTATGGGTACTTACTAAGATACTTATAAGTAACTTAAGCTGATGTTCTTAAGTTACTTAAGCTAACACTATAAGATACTTATAAGTTACTTAGGGAAATGAAGCGATCGCGATCGCTTGGGAGGAGGAGGAGGAGGAGGAGAGCGATGTCGATCGCTGTGAGGGGGGGGGAGGGGGGGAGGAGAGCGATGAGCGCGGCGGGGCGCGCGGCCTCCTCGCCGCGCGCGGCCGCGTCCTCAGTGTACGCGCGGCCTCCTCACCGCGCAGGGGGCCCACCCTCAGGGGCCGCCTCGCCGCCCTGCCCGTCGCGGAAGGCGGCCAAGCAGATCGCCTCCGCCTCGCTCAACGCCTGCAGCTCGGCCTGCTGTTGGAGCCGCCTGAGGCCCCCTCTCGGCCGACGGCTGCAACCTCGAGGCGCGGCCGCTTGGGTGGCGGCGGCGGCGCCGCGTCCTTGGAGGTGGCCGCAACGAAAGCGGCGGGCGACGGCATCTTGAAGAACTTCGCGTTGGCCATATTCGGCCACGGGCCGCCTCGCGGCAGCGGGACACTGGACGGCTTCGCGCCGACCAGCCCAGGTGGCAGCGGTTCCGAGGGGAGATCGTCCATGACGCGCCCCCTCCTGCGCGCGCGCGCGCCGTCGCTTGGCCGCGAGCGCCCCGTGCGTCACTCGCGAGGCGAGCCGAAACGGCTGAGCAATCGCCGTCATCGCGAGCCCATCGTCGCCAACGCCCGCCCGAGCGATCGCCATCGCTCCACCCATATTCCCACCCGCGCCCGAGCGATCGACATCGCTCTCCTCCTCCTCATCATCGTCATCCTCCTCTTCCTCCTTCTCCTGCCTCCTCCCCCTTCCAAGCGATCGACATCGCTTCGCCTCCCCCAGCGATCGGCATCGCTCTCTTGCTCCTCATCCTCCTCCTCCTCCTCCTCCTCCTCGCGGCGATCGAGATCGCGAGCCCCCCTGGCTGCCTATGCAAATCCCGCGGCCCCACTGGCTGCCCATGCACATCGCGATCGGCATCGCTACTCCTCCTCCTCCCTCCGCAGCCCCCTGGCTGCCCATGCAGATCCTGCTCCTCCTCATCCTCCTGCTCCTGCTCCTCCTGCTCCTCCTGCGCCTCCTGCTCCTCCTCCTCCTCCGCCTCCTCCTCCTCCTCCAAGCGATCGCCATCGCTACCTCCCCCAAGCGATCGACATCGATATCCCCCCCCAAGCTTCTTGTTGGCGCGCGCAGCCTCGCGCCGCCTCACTGCGGGGGCGCAGGCCGCGGCGGCGGGGGCGGCTCAGTCAGGGCGTCCGTGGGCGACCCTGGGCGCCCGTCGCCGCCCGTGAGCCCCTCCTCACGGGGGGGCCACGGCGGCGGAGGCGGCGTCGTCAGGGCGTCGGCCATGTCCACCGCCGACGCCATGGCCTGGACCGCCTCGGGGGCGTCGCACAGCCTCTGCAGGCGGATGATCGTCATCGCGTCCTGCTTGAGCTGCGCCAGCGCCGCCGCATGCACCGCGGCGCGGCGGCGCGCGACGCCCAGCAGCTCGGCGGCCCGATCCAGCTCGACGTCGCGCATGTCGATCTGGAGGGCCAAGTGCCGCGCCACCTGGGGGGGTCGTCGTCGTCGTCGTCGCCGCCGCCGCCGCCGTCGTCGTCGCCGCCACCGTCGTCGTCGTCGTCGTCGTCGTCGTCGTCGTCGTCGTCGTCGTCGTCGTCGTCTCGTCGTCGTCTCGTCGTCGTCGTCGTCGTCTTATCCGCCTCCTCCTTCTCCGCCCGCAGCTGGGCGTTCGCCGCGCGCAGCTGCTCGACCTGCCCGCGCAGCTGCTCCACCTCCCCGAGCAGCCGCTCGGGCAAGCTCGCCTCATTCGTCGCCGTCTTCGTCGCCGTCGTCGCATCGTCGTCGTCGTCTCGTCGTCGTGCGCGGCCGCCTTCGGCCAGCTCGAGGCGCGCTTGCGCGCGGCCGCCAGGGGCATCACCGCGCATGCCCCGCGCGAGCCCAAGGGGCAGCAGCGCGCCAACGCTGAACGGTTGCGCGCAGTGATCTTATGTTCCTCCTCCCACCCCCCGCCCATCTTCCAGCGATCGATATCGCTATCCTCCCTCCTCCGCCACCTCCTCCTCCTCCTCTTCCTCCTTCAAGCGATCGACGTCGCTTCACCTCACCCAGCGATCGACATCGCTCGATTTTCTTTTCCGTCCCCCCCTCCTTCCAGCGATCGGCATCGCTTTCTCCCTCCCCCTCCTCCTCCTCCTCATCATCATCCTCTTCCTCTCATCTCCTCACCCAAGCGATCGGCATCGCTTCACCTCACCCAGCGATCGACATCGCCCCCCACACACACACACACACCGCGGCGCGGCGCATGTTTCCATCTGGTTCTCAGCGCGCGTGCGCGATGACATAGTCACCGTTGCTCTTCACGCGCCACGCCCAGACAGCGCCATCCAGGTCAGCGTCGGACATCTTGATGACGAGGAGCTCGTTCACCACGCTGCCAGTGCTGAGGCCGCACGCGCCCGTTGAGATCTCGATCCCGCGGGCGACGATGTGCAGTTCGCCAGAAATCTCCGCGCACGCGTCGATGATAAACACCTCGCCGCCGCGCGAGCGAACCACCTGGCCCACGTTGTAGGCGTTCCCTTCCCAGCGCAACCCCCTGGCCACGGAGACGTCGGCGGCCCCGACTACGGAGCGCAACCCGTCAGATTCGGCACGCGCTCCCACCAGCGAGTTGCCCGTCGGCCCCATCTTCTCGAGTTGCCGCACTTGCTGCAATACGCAGCCCGCGAGCGTCGTGGCCTCCATGCGCGCGGTGTTCTCCACTGGTTCGGCCACCGCCTTTGCCACCTTATTGTGGCGCTCCGTCACGAAGCAGTCGAGCTCTTTCGGCTCCTGCTCCGCGTTGTGAAACACGTAGTGGTGTTTGGGCTTCACGTATTTGGTGCCGTACGCCTGCTTGTGCAAGTTGAGATGGACTTCAGCCGCTGCAATGAAGTCACTGCGAGGGGGGGCACGCCCGCGCTTGACCTTCAGGAACGCGTCCGCCAGCAGGCCGCACGCCCGAAGGGACGCTATTTCGCGCTCGAGCGACCCGATGCGGACGGCGCGCTCCTCGGCGAACGCCAAAAGGACGAAGAAGGTCGAGATCAGCTCGCTGGCGCCTGCTTTGAATGATTTCTTGCACGCGGTCTCGTGCCCAGGCGTGAACATATATTTTGCCGTTCTGCCGTGCGACCTCGGGAACTGCCAGCGCCGCGTGAACGCGTGAAGCTCGGGCCATCCGATGCCAGCTTTTCTCTGGCACGCCTTCACAAACGCGAACACCTCCCAGCCAACGGTGCCATTGTTCCATATGTTGTGCATGCTGTCATACGTCATGGCGGACGGCTTCATTATCGCCCGCAATTCCTTATCCTCCAGCAAGCCATTGGGATGGTAGTTGAAGCCGCTGGCTTTGTCGAGCTTCTGGAAGTTGCCCTTCGTCATGTGGCCAGGCTGTCCCGCGGTCGCCGCCGCTGCGGCGAGGTCGTCCCACAGTTTCCACACGTCGGCGTCTGAATGGCGATCGAAGCGCGCGTGCTCGTGACAACAGATGTCGACGAAGTAGCCGCCGTCGCCGTCGACGGAACCGCCCTTCAAGATCACGTTCTTGCATCGCAAGCAAGGCCTCCAGCCGTTGGCACCCCGCAAACGCAGAATGCCTTTGAACGCATCCATGTCTGCGAGAAGATTGGAGAGGCGCGCCCGCACCAGCATCGGAGTGCCGTTGGCCAGCTCCACGTGCGCGCCAGCTCCCGCGAGCCTGGAGGATCCGAAGAACATCTCCCTGATGAGGAGTCGAGTGGCACAGGAGATGCCGCCGTCCACGCGATTGCTCGCTTTCGTTCGCAGACACCCCAGCGGTAGCCACAGCTCTTCCCTCCATAGCATGTCAGCCCCGAACTCCAGGAACGTGAAGAAGATCATCCAGAACTTCCGATCGTGCCTCAGGGCCAGCGCGTCGCCTGGTGTCACTTCGTCCATGTACAGCACCAGCGAGAGCGGCGCGCCGCGGACGCGGTTCGCGACCACCGCGAGAAGCTCACTGTACACGGGGCTGGCCTTGCAAACATACCGCAGGAGCTTGTCGATTCTGGCGAGCTTCCAAGCGAAGGGCGGCTCGTTATCTTGCATGGGCAATTCGATTGTCGTCCCGACGTCGTCGAATACGCCCTCAATGGTGGATTGGACCGCGTAAGCCGTCAGCTCTTGCGCATGGCCAGGCTCCGCGAGCTTCTTGGCGATGCGAACGAGGGCCTTGCCAGATACGCCATGCGTAGCGATGGCATCGGATAGCCGACGCCGCTTGGCCGCCTGAGGTCGCGGACATCGGATACCCGACTCCGCTTCGGGGCCATCGCGCCGCCGCTTGGGCATCGCGCCGCCGCTTGGCCACGAACGACGCGCGTCACTCGCGAGTCGAGCCGAAACGGCTGAGCAACTAGCCCCCATCGCGAGCCCATCCTCGCCAACGCCCGCCCGAGCGACGCCCTCGCTTCACCCCAGCGATCCCCATCGCTCCCCTCTCCCTAAGCGGTCGCCATCGCTTCGCCCCAGCGATCCCCATCGCTCCCCTCTCCCTAAGCGATCGTCATCGCTTCACCCTAGCGATCCCCATCGCTCCCCTCTCCACAAGCGATCGCCATCGCTTCGCCCCAGCGATCCCCATCGCTCCCCGCTCCCTAAGCGATCGTCATCGCTTCACCCCAGCGATCCCCATCGCTCCCCTCTCCACAAGCGATCGCCATCGCTTCACCCCAGCGATCCCCATCGCTTTTTTTTATACACATGTGCGCCACCAGCTGCGGGGCTGGGCGCGAAAGCGGGGCGGCGAGCGGCGTCAACGTCTGTTGCTACCGCACGGCCGCGCGCTGGTCCCAGCGCTGTAGCTGATGACGGCGGGCCCTCACGAGGACTTCGCAGTCACAAGGTACGCCTTGGCCATCGACATCACCAGAGTGCTCTGCGCCGCCGCCTGCGTCGACATGTCGCTGACATCCTGGGCGGACCAAGTGAACTCCGAAGGTGCGACCTTGCCACTGCTGACTTTATGGGCGACCTTCTTCATCTTGGCCAGCGCGCCCATGATCTTTTTCGCGTGAACCAGCGTAGCCTCGGGGATCTTCCCGACCCCGTCGCACTTGAGCGCCGACTCGAGCTTGTACATGGGCGCCACAATCCTGCTCAGGGTACGCGTGGCCAGGAGCTTCTGCTGCTGCGCCTCCTTGTCTTTCTTACTCTGCTCTTTCCTCTCCTGCTTCTCGCGCGCCGCGCGCTCCTTGGCGGTCTCGCCGACGCGCGGGTGCGCAGGCGACGAGCTCCCCGATTCGATGTCGCTGCCGCTCTGCGAGGAG